AAAAAAAAACATAGGACATGTATTCCTGATATGGTTGGCATAGAAAGATAACAAAAGTTATTACCAATCAAAACTCTTAAAAAAAAATAACATAATTATAAGACACCTAAAATATTTACTCGTTTCAAGCCAATTTTAGAACAGGTTTTTGATAGTAAAACCAACCAACAAAAGGTATTAAAACTATAAAGATCAATGCACCAATTGTCATACAACACAATTGTAATTCACTAGTTATTCCAATGTTCTTCAAATAAAAAAATAAAAACAGAGAACATTTATCCTTGACATGGTTGGCGAAGAAACATAACAAAAGTTATTATAAGCCAAAACTCTTAAAAGAAAAAAAGAAAATAACATAATTATAAGACACCTAAAATATTTAATTTTTATTCATTCAAGTCTTATTTCAAGCTAATTTTAGAATAGTTTTTCGATAATAAAACCAACTAGTAAAAAGCATTAAAACTGCAACAATCACTAATTGCCATAATAAAATCAACCAGCAAAAAGCATTAAAGCTACAAAGATCAATGCACTGATTGTCATAATAAAATCAATCAGCAAAAAACATTAAAGCTGTAAAAACCAATGCACCAATTGTCATACAATACAATTGTAATTTAATGGTTATTCCAAATGCTCTTCAAGTTAAAAAAAAAAAAAAACAGAGGTTATTTGTCTCTGACTGATTGGCAAAAAACAGATAACAAAAGTTATTACAAGTCAAAACTCTTAAAAAAAAATAACATAATTATAAGATATCTAAAATATTTAATTTTTATTCACTCAAGTCTCATTCCAAGCTAATTTTAGAACAGCTTTGTGATAATAAAATCAACCAGTAAAAAATATTAAAGTTGTAAAGATCACTACACCAGTTATCCTACAATACAATTATAATTCATTAATAATTTCAAATGCTCTTCCCCCACCCCACCTTACCATTCAATATTTCTTGGTCCTTTATTAGCTAAACTACCTGAGAGCTATGCTTAATGTGAGTAGAATCGTTTAGCCATGCTTTTTAATTGAAAAAACAAAATAGTGAAAATCCATGTCACTCAACGGAAAAAAAAAATAGTATTAATCCAAATCAACACAAAATATATTTTAGAAGATCTCTTCCAAATTATGTGTATAACTATCAAAATGCTATTACAAAATTTTATATTGAAAAAATAAAAAAATTCTAATAGTATTGTGTTAGAAAAATCAGAAAAGTCTATAATAATATTGAATAATAAAAACTAAAAATTATTTTTTAAAATAAAAAATAAAATATAATTCATAAACTAAAACAAGAAGAAATAAAAATAAGTAAATAAAATATTTATTTTTTTATGAGAAGCTCTTATATTATTTTTCTTAGTTTAAAAAAAATATTATCCTCGAGTTTAAACTGTTTTTAAAGCAAAACCTACTCAACCAAAATTCACCATATATTATGAAAACATGCAACATAACACTTTTTAAACAAAGTCGTTTTAGTCTGAAACCATCCAACTCCACCATGAACACACCCTTGTATGCAAACTCTAACCATGATAATTAAACCATCCACAACAAAAATACAGTTAAAAGCAAAGAATAATAAAGTTTGTTATAAACTAAAATCTTCATGGACTAATAAAGTGTATTGTAAGTCAAAACTCACAAAAATAAAAAATATTATCAGATCTGAAATATTTAATTTTTATTTATAAAAAATTTATTATAATCTTTTATATTGAAAAACTAGAAAACCTTAATATGACTAAATATGAAATTAAAAATAATTTCATTTTAACAGAAAAAATAAAATTTCTAAACTAAAAAAATAGCATCAGTTATGTAGAAGTTTCCAGTCAACATAATCCATTCCATTCATCTTTCGTGAAAACACATGTAGCGTGCTAGACTGTCAATATCTCATGTTAACTGTAGTAAAAAAGAAGTATATAAACTCTAGAAGCAACCTCTCTTTCCTAGAAATGATTTGAACTAGCCACCATCAATTTTCCATGTTTTTTCTAATAGAAAATATTCATAATAAATGTCAATATTGGTTTGTCAAATCTCCAAATCTTGAGTTTTTCATCTCCAAATACCTTATGTAAACTTCATTTAATTCATCACAGTTTGATTTAATTTATAAATTTCACTTATGTTCAATATCAAAGTTATTGTAAATCCTAAATTATATACCCTTATATTTTTCTACAAGTTCATGGACTTCTTTCAACTGTATCATTCCCAGGGTAGTTTCATTTTGATTGTTCATTTATTTGCAACTAAAAAATATTTTATTATGTTAATATTTTTATACGGTGATCCTATCAAAACACTACATTAATTGAAATTTGTTCAATCAAATGCTTATCCATCAGTTGAAATGAAACATGAAGAAAAATTATTATGATAGAAGAAAAATCATAGATACATGCACAAAATATTCTACATTTTCAATACATATTCAATTTGAAGAAATATCACAAAGTTGTATCATACGATTCATCATTGTTAGGGTCAAGAGCAAAGCCTCGACTAAACTAGTAAAGTGTTCCACTAAAAAACAATAAAGGTCAAATAATTCGACTACTATGCTATCATAATAATGATGGAGTCTTTGATAATGATTGGTATAGTATCGACGCAATTTCCTTGTCTTTGTTCTAGTTTTGCAAATTTAGTTCCTCTTGAGAAAAACATTTTCAACCTCTTTGGAAATGGAGAAAATCTGAAAACATTCCATTATGAACTATTACTCCAAAGCATGGCCTTCCACTTATTAGTGAACTTTAAACCTGCACAGTCATGAAATCGACTTAACTCAAGGAAGTACTTAATCACAACCCTCGATTCCTTCTACTTGCTTCCAACCAACAAAGATGAAAAAAAAATAAATTCATAGTTAGTGCTTTGAAAATATGCACCATACCATAATCGTTCGGGAAAAATGGAAAACACAACAAGCATGACCATTGAAAAGCTTGCAAATTCTAAACTTCGATGGCCTACCAACTCCGACTCTATAACACTGTTGCTCAAGTCAAAATTATCAAAACGCAAAACATCTTTGGTACAAATAAAGACGTTGTTTTGGCGAGTTTTCTTGGTCAAGATTCTCAAACTTATTCGACAGAAACAAAAGGAGAAGAGGCAATTGGTTTCCCAAAACCATCTGATGAATCAGGCATCACTGATTTTGGGTATGAGCTAGGAATAAACTGCAAATCTAGAGCTAGGAAAAAACGTAGATACTACAGTGTAACTCATCTGTAGGATGGGACCTAAAAACATCATACTCATCCAAGAACCATGATCAGATGCAGTCACAACCGCCAATAACATTTGATAGGAAAAGAAAGCAAAAAAAGAATTAAAGGGTACACGCAACTTTGCATGAGATCACACCATTTCTCATGATTGGCTTCTCTGCATGTTCCTGTCATTAGGAAAACTGGAAGATATAACAGCACGTTATAGGGCATGAAAAACAAATTGAGCATTCAAGGTTTTGTGAAAACTACGTTGTATCCCAGATGCTAATAGGCCCTTTGTTTACTCAAGGTGAAAGTTCATACATAATGCATGGTAAAACTGTTACAACTGTAAAATCAATGCATAATTTATTAGAGATTTGTCCAGCCATCTCTATTTTATTTCACCTGATAATAAAATGCAGTTTGCTACATGCTGTGTGCAAAATGAAAATTTCCAATTAAAATGCAATACAAACAAGGGAAAACAAAGCATCAAACTGGGGTTTAAGTTCCTTTCACTAATATCAATAGAAAACTTGAATTTACAAGCATATTTTTTTGCTAACAAACAAATAAGTAGGGCTAATGTAACATATTCAATGTGTTTGTCAGAAGTTTCTGATAGCAGAAATCAAATATCAGGTTTAGATACTGAAAATATATAGTAGACAGCTGCTCATTCTCCTTTAGTAGATAATATTAACACAGCATCAACAACTAGGATATCAACAAGAGATTGCTGTGATTTGCTCATCTTTCCTTTGGAGGTTATTTGACTTCTTTATTAAGTAATCTCATCCTCTAATCCAGTCTAATTTAATTCTGTTTATTTATCCAACCTCAAGTTTCCTTCCTGTCTCTTCATCCACTCTTGGTTTGGTCTTGGACTTAATTGAAGGACTATTACAGATCAGAGATGACATGCTTTTAGTTGCACCAATGTATCAATAGAATCTAACAAACAAGATGAAATTACAGATTACAACGTTTATCGTGGTTTTGGGGTGGGTGGGTGGCTGTAATCCATGGATTTGCTCTACTTGAAACTGTTAAGACCTGGTAGAAAATCATGTCAGTCTCATATAGAGTGGTTTATCAACACCAAAAACCAATTCATACAACTTCAGATTGCTGGAAAGTGTATTAGAGAGGCTGACCAGAAGGTTTTTGTAAGATCTCAATCACCCTAACGGAGACATGCCAAGGGGAAGCAATATACAGAACTCAAATAATTTCGTTTTCACAACATATGGCTACAAAATTGTCAGGAAGGGATAAGTACTCTAAATGAAGCTCCAGATACATAGCTATGCAGCATTTAAGAACAAAGCTTCATTTTACTAATTTGGATAAAGCTCACGAATAACCTTTAGCAGTATTCAAATATTGCTATTTTACTATGGAAGCAGCAAAAATCCAAAACCTTATGCATCCGCACAGAGGAGTAAAGCTGTTCACTATTTAGTAGTTTGGAAGGTGTCCCTTCTTCCTTTGAATGGAGAGAGTCAACAATTCAAGAAGTTGAAAACTTGGGAGTCTATCTGCTGTTTATGAGTGTAAGAACATCATAGTTGCACATTTTCAGATGTCAGTTACTCGCCATTTTCCAACATATATCTCCTTTCATCTCTCCTTAGAATTGCCTTGGTCTAGCCCTAAATCTCACACCAGGCCTTATAAATTTTATTGAACCAACAATCCACATAATTTAAACTCCTACAGATGCCACCGCAGCTTTTCTAAGTACTGAAGACAAGACCATAAAATTATGGATTTTCACCTAATTAAAATGCAAAATATTAGAATTCATATTATAAAATTTTCAAACATAGCAAGTCCATGCTTTCTGCACAATCATACAACAAATGATTGCAAGTAGTTTGTTATAAACATTTCATCGTACACAGTTCTTGACAGTGTCAGACAGAAAAATAATGAAGAGGGAAGAGAGTACAATAGGAAGTGGCTTCCTTTTTTCCACCCCATAAAAGAATGGATGGTTAAAACTGACGTGAGATCTATCAACATCAAACCCTGCATCAAATAAAACAAGGATTGGAAACTTATCTTGAGATGGTGCTCCAATTGCTATCCACTTGCAGACTAGATTTTCTTTATGGATATTCCACTGGCAGCTTAAACTCCTATAGCCAGGACAACTCAAATGACTTCTTCCACACATGAATGATATAGTTTAAATGTGTCCATTCTGCTTCGTCGAGAAATTATCCTTGTGGTGATTCCATACATTTTGTTCTTAAATGTTATCAGAAAGCATTAACATAGAACATGGCACCCATCCCTGAAGCAATATAAATCTTCTCTTGCAGCATGAAATCAGTCATTGAACGATACAACAAATCCAAAGAGGAGCATCATCAAATGGGCAACCCAACCTCAGAACTCAAGGTATTTCTGTACCCAGTGTTCATTAGATTTTACAACTTTTGATTTGCCTTATTTTTGCCACATTTATACATAACATTTGGGCATGCATTAAAAAGAATATGAAGATTTTGATTGACTACTACTACTTCAGAGAAACAGCTTACACATCTCTAGTTTTTCAACATTGCATTTTCGTCAAAAATAGCTTCAAATACAATCATCATGTTGAACTTTGCTTTTGCTACTTTAAACAATGCTATTACCAACAGGAGCAACAAATACAGCTCTTTTCTTTTCTTTTCTTTTCTTTTTTGTTTACAATAAAAGATACTGTATTTAACAATTTTGTATTTCAGCTAAAAGTCTGCACCTATTGTGCAAGCTATATACTTACAAACATAGCATTATGACATCCAAGGGTTGAGATATTTTGTTTCACAAAAGGAGTTAATAAAGTAAGAAAATCTTAATGTTTCCGGTAATTTGTCTTAACTAACATGGGCAATCTAACTAAAGAAAGTATCAGGGATAATGAGGCTATAAAGAATGGAACTGAAGATAAAGTTGTACAGACTACAGATAAGATGTGCCACATCTAGGACTTGGCCTTTGATATGATTGCAAAGAGGCAAAGAGCCCTTTGAACATGAAAGTAAAAAAACTGTCGCAAATTACAAAACCAGTATAGTTCCCAGTTCTACTATTGCTGAAGGAAATAACATATCATTTTTTTAGTCCAAAATGATTTAGGGATGCCGAACAGAAGCCAATTATATTCTCAACAGGATTCTGATATTTTAGCACATGATAAAAAAAAAAAAAGACAATGACAATGGGAATGCCTGGTGTTCGCTGCATGAATAGACTATCTACTATAGATATCCTCAAAGTTAACTATAGATATCCTCAAAGTTAAAAGCAACAGGAAAATGAAATGCCAAAATTGTGCAACAAAATCAACAAATATTGAAGTTCAGTTCATACCAATGAAGAGTACTTCATTAAGTTCAGAGTATTGACAGGAAATCAGCCTTGTATTATCTGTTATAAATTAGCAGGATAAATACACATATATATGACAACATTCATGTATTCAGGCTTAGGCAAAGCATGAAACAACTGATTAAATAAATATAACCACCTGAATAAATAAATATGTATTATGTCAAAAATTATCATAAAGCATATGAACTCAACACAGCCAAGCCTTAAAAATTGGGGGAGAGCTACATGGATATCAGAGAGGGGATGGTAATCAGACACGGAAAAGAAAAAACATGGTGTAATAAATCATAACCATTACATTGAGATCAGAGTGGCTTCTCAGCCTTGAAAAGGATAGATGTTTTTTTTTATCTATTTCTCTTCAGATGTGTTCTCATAACAATAGAAGCCAATTACCCTTCATTTTGGTGCATGCATGTTGACCACAAAAGTAAGCAATTCCACTAAATTGCACATTATATTTGCTAGTTCTGGCAAAGGGAGACGGCAATGTTGAGACAGCAACTGCAAAACTTGCAAGAAAATCATCGGTATGATCCATTCCCTTTGACCAATGTTGTTTTATATGAGATATATGAACATAAAGTGTGATATCAGAGTAATTGCAACAGACTAAATAAGAAAAACTGAAACTTCTGATGGAGCATGCTATTATTTAAGGTCAGATGCTTGCAGGTATCACTAGTGTCCATGTGATCATTAACATTTTAGACACACCAAAGATTCATTTGTGCCACCCTGGAAAAGTTCATCTCAGTCACCTGAAAAGAATGTCAACATTGTGCATCAGGAGCAAGGGGGGTACAAGAAGGCATCAGCCACACATCCTCTCCTAAACATATTCAAGTAGTGCTGGTCTTGTTTAGGACCCCCTGAAATTTTATCAGTGTTGAGCGAGTAATTTCCATAATGTCTTTTGAAGATTAACTAAACAACTAGAATATTTATTTTATGTACAAATAAAACAGAAAACTAAGGAAACGTGAATAGACCTACAGAAGTGAGGAAAGGACCAACTGTTTTCTCATACTAGAACTAAACAAGAAAAATGACCATGGGAGGAAAAGATTGCAACTGAACATAAAAGGAAGCATTGGTGGACAGCTTAATGCTATTGAAAAATCCTTCAAAAACTGAATACTGTAAAAGGATGAAATGAATTGTTGCTTTTCACTATATGCCTAGCTAGCAAAGTTTACATTTCCATATGATGATAGCAGGCAAATGATGGGTGAAGAACTTTCTGGCTTAAGCGTAAAGGATTTGCAGAATTTGGAGAACCAATTGGAAATGAGTCTCCGGGGTGTTCACATGAAAAAGGTTTGAAATTCCTAAACCCCAGCGTGCAGTAAATTTCCAAGATGTGGAGCACATTCATCTCACTGATACTGATATTGATTTCATCAGGACCAAATTTTAATGGATGAAATACTAGAACTAAATAGAAAGGTAGGCATGTAGAAAAAAGCTACTAACTTCCTTTACATAAGTTTTTTAATTCAAGTAGCTGAACTTGATGTATCTGTTGCAGGGAAACCTCATTCACCAAGAAAATATGGAACTCTATAAGAAGGCAAACCTAATTTGTCATGAAAATCAAGAATTGTATAAGAAGGTAGAAGTTTGAGTATGTAGACACTTATTTGCAAAATATCAATTAAATTTATTTGCAAAATATCAATTCAAACCATCAATACCTTAGTCCTGAATGAAATTGTAAGGTGTTTTATTCCACCCTCATCAGCATATTTTCACATCCCAGGTTTATGGAAACAGAGAAGTAAATGGAGCAAACAGGAATTCCCTTCTCACAAATGGTCTGGGCATGGGAGAGGAATCACATGTACCTGTCCATCTCCAGCTTAGCCAGCCACAACAACAAAACTATGATACACCAGCAAGAGCTACAAAGTTGGGGTATAATTTCATCCATACAACAAGTACTTAATTGTGAACTATCAATTACTTTATCAGTCTTTGATGCCAAATTTTTGTCCTCTAAAACTGCAGCAGACTACAACTGCATTAGCGAAGAAGTTGCATGATGCATTGTCACCAAGAATGGGTATTATGTCATTTTAATGGCCCATAAATAACAAGACCATGCTTCTATTATTGCACAGTGGTATGCGAGCCAATAACCATTAAGAGCATACTTTGGTTAGACATGACCAATGGAAAACACTTCAGCACTGTGTGATGATCAAGACAGCTACTTGTGTAAAAAATGAGATAACTGTAATAAAAAGAAGTGACATTGCACTGCGTTTTTAACACATTTTTTAAAATGACATTAATGTTCAAAAATGGATGGAATTAGAAGTCATGCATACTACCATAAGCAATTTTATTTAGGATGTCATTTGATGGGACTCACAACGTATCGATATCACCAGGCAGGTACTTCAGGAAAATAGTAATTTGCTGACAGGGAAGCAAATTTAACAAGATACTTCAGAAATATGTTGGGACATATACTGCATGCTAACTTTCATTTCAACCAAGTTTAAATTTAAAAAAATCATAATGCAGTGGCATAATAGTCTACCTTGTCCATCTCTTAGGAACAATTGCAATCATAGAACAACTCACTTTCTATGAAATAAAAAGTTTCCGGACAACAACACAAGGCACTCAAAGACAAAAATACCCTTTGTTGGTCAAAGTTACAGAGGAGAAGATGAAAAGAACATGTCAACAACCACTTAGTTACAGGAAGGAGAGGGTTGAGGGGCTCGATAATGTGCATTTTTTAATGTTAGAAGCAGTGCTATTGCAAGTAAACTAGATAAAACCTAGGAAGTTTCTATGAACTGTTACTAGCAAAACTAAATCATGCCACGTGGAATGTGGAAAAAAATATGTGCTGCTTGTTATTCCTAAAGAAAACCTTTCTATATGAATGATACCAACTACAGTTCTGATGCGAAATTTGAATGACAGAAAATTCAGAATGAATCCAAAATGCAAAAGCCCTCAGACGTGATAGAAGATGCACCTCAATTATATGCCTTTTGGTCATACAAAATTCATATGGCTAAAGTGAAAGGAGAAGAATTCTTTCATCAATAAAAACATTAAGTTCCTGGTAAAAACTCAGATGCCAAATATGAAAGAGCAGCTGGGGCCTGGCTAATATCATCTCCTGTTCAAGGTTGGATTCTGATGCTGTCAGTTCAGTTTTGTAAGAAAGTTTAGCAGCACAGAAAACAGGTTTCCCTTCCAAATGAAGCACAACTGAGCAGAACATCAAAGTTTTGGAATAATTTGGAAAATAAGATTCCAGAAACAGGTTAGTGGTGGTTGTTAAGTCCCCTACAAACAGGTATTAAAGATTCAGGTTTGTTCTCATCTAGGACTAAAATGCATATAAGAATAAGAGTATAAGCTCTTGATTTCTAGACCTCAAATTCTAAAGGATCATTTTTTTTATGAATATTCTTCGTTTGAAAATATTTCAGTGGTTCATTTTCAAAAAGTCTGTGTTGATGTTCTCCAATATTTTCCATCCAACTAACAAATAATAGTCTAAAATGGTTATTTGGAAGGTTTACACATAATTCATCCCTAAACAGTAAAAAGGGGAAATGAAACAGAGACATAAAGCTCGTTAAAGTTACATTTGGCCAGAAAATTGAGTTAATTCCAATAGGGAAAATTTCTGAGAAAGAGTTGAACAAAAGTTGAATCACTTTTTGATAAAAAGTCAGGGATTACCTGGTGGAGCAGGAGATTTTTTGGCATGGTCATACAACTTCTCGCAATTTACTGTACCAAAATTATATTTTTTTATGTAAGAACTTGGCAAGTTTTCAACAAGAGGAGAAAAAATAACAAATTTAAAAAAAAATAAAAAAAAATCATGGAAAGAGTTTGATGCTAGAAGGAGAATAAGAGAAAAGGTGCAATGTAAATAACAGTAAGAACACAAAACTATGTCAAAAGAAATATATAATTAACATTTGGTGATATCTCATATATGGTTATGACTGTTAAATGCAATAAAGACGAGATCGTGTAAATCTATCATTTCATCAATGTTTGATTATATGTACAAGTATTTTTCTCTTTAACATAAATTAAGAATTTCTCAATATAGAAACAAAAATAATTAGTGCATAAGAATAGTATCCCCTCTATTAGCATATGTTTTTCAAAACTGGGAGCTCGTATCCATGCTTGGCATTCATACCATGTCGGACTCCAATATATTTCATAAAAATTCAATGCTTATACACATGGTAGTTATTTGACTTTTGAAGTAAAGAACTAAATAAACACTCAAGAATTCAATTTACTTCATAAAATAAAAACACTAAGGTGCATTATGGTTAATCGTGTTGTCTTGTGTTTTGAAACAAAGCAATTAAACATCATTAATAATAAATTGTGATCTCATGTTGTGAATAAATTTATTGTTGTGCTATTTGAATTAAAATGAACATAAAGGGCATAAAATTAATATCAGGTCTTTAATAACTAAATTAATTACTAAAAAATTGACATTACTATTTGAAAGTTGAAATATGATATTCATTTAATATAAATTTTAATAGACATTTATTTCAATTTAAAAATCTTATAAAAATTATCTTTTTATATATTTCATATTATAATGTATAACACGATGAAAAGCATAAATAAAAACTAAATGCAAGTTCATTTAAATGGAAATTATACTCTCTCCATCCAAGGAGATTGTGCTACTTTTCATTTTTGTTTATCATAAAATGATTGTCCGATCAACACATTTAATTCGTGAATTTTTTTGCAATACCCCTAATTAAATGTAAGATAAAAGATGAAAATTGTACTCCTTCCATGCCAAAAAGAATGTCCTGCTGTCTATTTTTGTATGTCCCAAATGATTGTTTGATAAGAACATTTAAGTCATATTTTCCTAATTATAAATAGATGAGTCTTTTACTAACATTTTTAGTTCTATTAATTTTTTTTTTTTTTAAAAGTAATTTGATTGGTATCACCCATGATTTTATCTTGTGTTGCAAACAATCACAAATTTTGGAAAGAACCAAAATTCTAAATTTGATGTGGGATGATCTAGCATTTCATCATTCATTCCCATCCAATCAAAAAGGTTTGGTTCTGGTATCAATTCAGGATTCAATATCAACTTTCTTTCTAAGACCAAAATGGAGAATTCTTTGATCTAAATATTTTCTATGAGAGCTTTTTTTCTTATCGATAATATCATCTTTTACTAGATGCTGATTGACAGGGATACCTGCCAACATATCAAATAATTTGCTTTTATCTATTTTGTAATTATAAAAAGTCTCTTGCTTATTATTTAATTGGAATGATAATTCAAAAATGGATGAGTCTTTCTTATTTTCATAATTAATGGATTTATATAATAAAATATTATATCTATAGTATTTTTTAAATTTATCTTTTTGGTTAGATAATGAATCTTCTTCTTCAAAAAAAGAAGTTTTTTCATAATGAATTAATTGATTTTTTTCATATAAATTCCTTTCATTTAAATCTTTATTTTGAATATGTTGATTCATTCTATTTTGCCATTTTTGCGATATTAACCAAGACCATCTGATAAAAGACATCATATTTATATTGATAATTACTTCATGCCCAAATTTTCCTTTCATTCATTACAGAATTTCTAAAATTTATATTATTTAATTTGAACTGAAATGTTCCTTGGACTCCAAAATAATCTTTTATTTCATTCATAAGAAAAGGAGATGCTCCATGATAGACAAATCTTAACTCACACAGGTTAATAACTTGGACTTAACTTGGACTTGTGATAATTTGTAAAACATATATACTTATGACAAGGAGGTTACGCTATAAAAAAATCTTTTGAGTTCTTATTAAAATTACTATAATTAAATGCTTTTTTTATAATCAAGATAAAGTGAATTAGTGTATTTTGGTTTGTTTTATCAATTCTTTTGTGATTATCTTTTATATTATACATATAAATGTATTTGTTAATCATTTTTCTTGGTGGTTCAAGAAAAAATTGTACATCCTCAAAATAATCTGTAAAATATTTAAGTTGTTCTGCAAGATCAAGACCTTTGGTCTCTATCCGAACTCAATGAAAAAACTAGGATCGCTTATTATAGACTTGTTGAGAATGATTCTGATCTAGTTCATTGCATTCAGTATGATAATGATCGAGTGACATTACCTCTTAAGCCCAAAGCATGGAGTCCTTGGCCCTTACGAACAGCTTGATACAATACCTCCTTCATTCTTTTAGCAAAAAAAGGAAAATCCATGGAACGACCACATTGTCTTCACCCTGTATGAACTACAAGATTGGCCAATGGATGGCTTTGGCATCCACGAGTCGCGGACCGACTATAAAACCCTGTTCAAAAAGTGGAACGCATTAACTATCCGCTCTTAAGTTGGGTAGTAAGAGTTGAAGAAGGGCGACCACTCATTCTTAAAACCAGCATTCTTAAAACAGGGGAAAGCTCCCTATTTAGAAATCATTTTTTCTTTTCTTTTGTAATTTTTTTATTTGATTTCTTATTGTCTTTGTTCTGACATTCAAATCTTTCATTATTTTCTGTCAGTGAATAGTTTATCCAATCCATAGATCAAATTGAAGTGAAAAATTTATGAATAGACCAATTATTAATTGATGAATCTTTTACATTAAGATTATACAAAAGGATTACTAAATCTATAAAGGCATACAAGTATTTGACTATCAATAGCCTACAAAGTGGTAATTCAAGGATCTTCAACCAATTGTGATTTTGCACATTTGATCTTACTTTGTATTAAAATAGTTTGTTGGCAAGCTAAGGCGGTATTTGGGGTAACTGTTGCTTTTTAAAGTGCCTTTTTCTTTAAAATGCATGAAAATAATATTTTTTTTATTTTTTAAAAATCATTTTTGACATTAGCATATTAAAATGATCTGAAAAGACAAAAAAAATATTAATTTAAAGCAAAAAAAAAATTAAAAATTAAATTAAAATTTTTAAAAGTGCTTTTGAAACACAAAAATAAACAGACCCTTAAGAGTAAGTATGGGTAGAAGCCCATCTAGTCTTTTTAGGGATCCAACTCGTCATCCGGTTAGGCTAAAAGCTATTATGAATGTAGGGGGTTAATAACTTCCATTATAACTAGGAGACAATTAGACTCATCTTATATAGGCTAATGCAATGAACAAGTTAAAAGATGTTGCTCATGACTAGGTCTCGAGAAGAGTTGGATTTGAAGCTTTCACATGCAAAAGAAGCCTAGCAAGCCCGATATTTCGAAACCTCTTAATCTGATCCTTAGGCTAGCTATGACTAGTTAGAAGTCTAATAAGAGAAGCAAGGTAACCGAATTGCCCAGGATTAGGACAATGAGCGTCCAGAGTAACTTGTAAAAGGGTAAAACCAAAATTAGTTCCATAGGCTTTCATGAATGGGCTCATGAATTTCAAAGTCAAAATCATTTGAAAGAACATTCTTCACACTTCAAAGAAAAGACAGAGACAAGAAGTAAGATTGAAATTTAGTTTATGCAAGCAATGTCTTTTAGCTGAGCCACATAGTGGTGTGAAGTAGTGGTATACTACTTCACGTAATTCATGTGATTTTCCACTTTATCATTATCAAACTAGACCTTTGCTTTTGAACAGGGGTTTGAGTAGGAAAAGACTAGCTAGAAAGCCATTCCTCTGCTTGCAAACACTGGACCCCTTGGAACGATGGAAAACTGAGGAACAGGGTATAGAGAGAATTCCATATGTGGCTTCCCATCACACTATTCAGACGAATCAAAAGAGTTGCATAAGAGGAATGTGGGTTAGTGGAAAATATCGAACTAAATAGGACCAACATCTGATGGTATAAGCTTGAAGGTCCTAGGCTGAAAAGGTTTCCTTCTCTTGCATTCTCTTCACGATTTCAAGAAGACCAAAGCCATAGGCCCTGTACAGAGGTAGTGATATACAGGAAAGAGGATTGCATCTTATATCTTATATAAAGAAATGGAAGCATGAGATTTGGTCCAAGGAAGCAGGACTTCATATTACTATTATAATTTGGTTTAAGGTACCTAATATAAATGGATTGTTATTAAGATGTGATGATGATAGTTGAATGCATTTTTTAATTTATTTTTTTGGAGAATAATTGAATGGTTGAAATGGTAAAATAGCTATACGGTAAACAGATGTAGTGTATAAAAAGGATATTCCGGCATGGTAAGTAATGAAAAGGATATAGTTTTGTAATTGAATGGTTGAAATGATAGGATTGGCTGCTTACTAAAAAATGCAATAATCTTCCAAGAGATTTAGACTATTGCCACTCCTACAAATCTCCATATTATCTGCTTTGAGACATGTTTAATACGTGTTAAATTTAAAATTATGGCATGGCATAAGCTATTTGCGTGTGACAAGGCTATGCAATTAGAAAGTCAGTAAAGAACTAAAGTGAGAGTTTACAAAACTACAGTTATGCTCTATGGTAGCAAGTGCTAAACAGTGAAGCAAAATGCTCATAAAACAAAACGGGAATGATATAGATTTTGGTTGGAACAGAAAAAACAAAAAGAACGAATTGTCCAGACTTTATTTTACGTGGTTTCCATGACAAACTTGATTTTAAAGAATCAAGTTCTGCCTTAAGAAATTAATCATTCACAAACACAGTGATCATAGAGCAATAAAAGTCGTAAAATAAGGTGGAAATCTAATGAAAGATCGGTGTGTAAGAAGCTGACAACCATGTCCAGATTAATATACTATGACTCAATCAATCATATTAAAGACTGAAATCAAAGTAAAGCAGCAACGACACAGTTTAAACTTCAAAAGTGAACCTTGCTAAACGATGTACGGACACAGGCAAAAAGAACATGATATTTGAGTACTTACCTAAAAGCGAAAAGCATCTCGCTTCCAATCCAACTCCGTTGCTACTCTAAATATCTTCTGCAAGTGTTTCAAAATAAGAAAAAAAAATATCACAAAAATAAAAATGAAAGGATATACACCAGACGAAACAAAAAAACCATTCTTCTTCGTTTAACTGCCGAAAAAATCTCATACTTAACGAAATGGGAGTCTGCAATGAGTATGTAATGATGTCAAAAATTTAGGTTTTGCTTATTTTTCTTGAAGTTTCTCAGCAAACAAAAGGATCGACGCATTTTGTTGATCCGACATGATACATACCCAACGCATGCAACATTGAAAAGGCACAAATAAGAACAAAATTGATAGTTCCTAAATCATTAAAACGACAACTTACTGTGAAGAAAGCAGCATTTGATCGTGAATATCAAGCTGACAAAAGGTTTAGAAAGAGGCAAGTGAATTGTGTAGATCAGAGGTGGATAAAACTGAGATCAGAAGAGAAATGAGGGACAATCGGAGCGCAACAAGAATTAGAAGCTTATAGG